CTCCGGCTCACGATATCAGTCGGAGATAGCTGGTAATTAGCTGGGCCCTCTAGTAGCCCAAAGCCATGTGCAAGTGCTGGCTCATGAGAAAGCTGCAGCACTGAGTGGGAAAAAATCGGGACGAAGAATCAGTTTGAGAAACCCTCAAGACTACATCAGCTTTTTTATCAGCCTAGTGATCTAATCCCTAGGCTGCTTGTTTGAGTTTCCTGTGGTTTATCCCTTACGGAATCTACAAGGATCAGAGAGACTTCTTTTCAGGACGTGTACAAGTTTACCAGCTATACAACAGCTGCCTTCTTCCTCAACGGCGAGCATTTTTGGCAACAATGCAACCAGACAGAATTATTTCTCCCGCTGTATTCGAAACCCGCCTTGGTTACCTTACCCCATCCGTAAGTCCATTAATAGTATAGTCGTGAAAAACAAACGCATGAGAATGAAAGAAGTATACCAGGGAGGAATCTTTTTCTACAGGGTGGTCCAAAATTATGAGGACCGCGTGCGCGCGCAGTCATATCCACTTTTTTCCGTATCGCTCCATTTTCATCTCGTTTTCTGTGCACTATGTGAAAGGGTACAATGTCTTCTTCCTAATGAAACCAAATTTCATGAAGTTCTCAAAACTAGTGAAATACTACTTCACTTTGAGTCAGTCCTCAAATTGAACTCACTAGGGGCTCTGGCACGTTACATCTAGCAGCAGTCTAACCTATCAGGGAAGCCCTTATGAGCAACAGTTCAACTCTTCAATAAGTTTGGAACCACCACAGATGGAAAATTCGGGGACTCGAAAGTTACAGTTACCACAGGATAATTATCAGATGCAGAAACTAGGTCTCCCCTTGTCGACTTTCGTACACCCAAAATGAAAAAATTGATGTGAAAACCCAGCCAGACACTCTAAAGACTCCATCTGTAGTGGATAGAAAGCCACACGAGTAGTCTACTTGGGACTTTTACAGGACCGAGCACCCAAGAATAAAGCAAAAATTCTCTAAAAAGCGATTTTTCGAGTTCGTTGCTTTCGAAGAATTGTTACAATGGAACCTTCCACCTAATAGCTCTAGATTTCTGTATTTCACACCCTGGATGCAAGCGCAAATAAATGCCCCACAAAACTTTGATTCCCTGAAGAAGGCAGAGCAGAAGGCCTGGAAACATTTGGACACGCCTCAGTTGCGTGCCACCGCACGCGCCATCCCCTTCATCTGAAGGCTCGTGTAACGGGGCAGGTGGCAGATCTCAATTCTATTCTGGAATTACTTTGAGGTAAGAGTTACAAATACTTCCCTGAAGTTGGTTTGTTCCATCAAGCTACTATGCGTTTTTAACGACACAATGTCTTGGTCCTCATAACTTTTGGACCACCCGTGTACTTATCAGGGAGGAGAACCAAACTGGAACCGGGAGCTTTTCCATTTTTCAGTCTAAAGAGGCAAATGAAGTCTCTGTGTGATGCCCTGGATAGGTATGGCGACCTGAAAGATGACAAAAAACGGCGTTTTCAACATATAAACAGAACTGTTCAATGTTCTAACTGATTGTCGGATACGTTTGGTGAGTTCAGAACATCTTTCAGTCTAGGAACCTTTCCTTATACCATCACAAATCTCATACCTATGCTTACTTGTAGCCTATCACTGGCGGAGTGGGTATCAAGTTTGAAGACTCGAGAGTCTCGATCAGCTGCACAGCAACGACTGCGGAAAAAAGCCCTTATGGTCAAATTGAACGGAACTATTTTTCCCGCTCCGTAGTACCCTCTCCATTTTTTCCCTCATTGGTGAGCGTAGACCCATTAAAATTACTGTAAGATGCAGTGGAAAGCTGATTCAGAGAGGAATTCAGGTATAGGGATTTATTTCAGGTAACCCAATACAAAGAAATTCTACCAGAAGCTTAACAGAGAAGAATCAATGTGAAACTGAGAGCCTCCGAGAGGCTTTCCAAGGACTCCTCTCCAATTAAGTGACATAGTTGACAGAAGGGCTTCATAATCAATAGTCTCATCAGATTGACCAAGCTCTGCTTTCTGTTCAGTGTAAAATCGGCATTCGAATTCGTTCTAGTAAAAAGTAGGTGAATGATTTGGTATAGGCTTATTTTTTGTTCTGCTATGTTAATTAGGTAGACTGACTTACAACGATTGATCTAGGGTTCATAACTCAATTACTACAGTTCACATTGTAATTGAGCCATGGGTTGCAGGTTTGAAAATCAACCAAAGCTTTCAAAAAAGATAGACGCTGACGTGTCACAACGAGCTATATGAGAAGCACCTCACTTTTCGAGATAAAGGAAATGTTGAAGCAGTGATTTACGGATCAGATTCTCAAGGTTTATAAGAGAGTGGTGTGCTGCAGCGGGTACACCCCCGGAGAGCGGAAAGATAAGCGGGAGAAAACCCGTGATAGAAAACGGGCAGACGGGTCTATCCCTTTTAGCTCGGATGAAATAGTAACAGTCAGAGCGGTATGGACGAGTTCAGCGCAACACGCGTGTGGTGACTGCATGCCAATTGCTTGCTCTTGGCTCAAGCCTGCTACTCAGGTTATGCTGCTTGCTGGCCAATCGTAGCTCGTCAAATCACCAGCTATACGGCTGAGTTTGCCGAACCGACGCGATTCGCTAGGCGTCCGCGTTTTCGCGTTGCGGTACCAGCCAATTGGTGGTTCACTGGCCGCGACGCGACCGCAGACGCTAACGAATCGCGCGATTCGCAAAGTCTGACATCGGCCTACTGATGGGCGGATGGCTTTTGGGGCGGAGTGCTTCCGAAGTCCGCTCGCTGAGGCAAGCCAGCGGGAGGCTTGCGGTATAAAGGCGGCTACATCTCGCGTCTCACTGGCAGCCAAGGTAACTATTTCGGTGTGGTGTGGGTATGGCTGGCCGCGTATGCGCTGCCACTTTATTAATGCGAC